AAGGTAGATCAACGCCCGGAGGTGGCAGACAGTCATTTGATGATGCCTTAGAGATCCAGGTGTGGGGACATTTTCCAAGGGTGTTAGTTGAGTGGTTTTGGTAGTTCTGAGATGTCATAGGCTTTTTGGGGCCAGGGTTGAGAAAATATTTCCAGGGTTTATTGGCTGACCAGGTTCACCTGAACGTGATGCAAAGCTTGGACAGGAGAGTGGTCCAACTTCTGCTTTCCATCCTCTGATGAGGAACTCCACAGTTTCTGTTAGCCTAGATGAGCTGTCATGTCCCCTATGTGCATCTAGGAATGCTGTCCACCGGACAGGCATCAATCATCGATGAGGCCTAGTCCTGACGTGTACGCCTAGGTTGGACCACATTTATTGTATTTTTCCTTGTGCCTGGGGTTTGAGTCTAGCAATCTAGTTGGGGAGTCTGCAGAGGAACTTTTGCTGGGGTGACCTCACTTGACTCTGTGTATACCAGCTAGTGTAAGATCCATTTTAGTCTATCACCTGTACCAGTCAACACACATATCAGTGGATACAGCTAATCAGTTCCATTCCCCAGCCTCATATCTCACATGAACTGATAGATGCTATGACCTGCCCCTGTCAGACCTGGCCCACATGTGTGCCAACAGGTCCTGTAGCCTTGACCAGCCTGGCCCACCCCCAGCCTTGGCTCTCATGCTTACCAGTGGGAACTGCAGCCCAGCAGGGTAGTGCCCACAGTTCCCCTACCAAGCTTGCTCCCAGTCCTGGATCTTGTTCCTGCCAGGTGATAGTGCAGTCCAGCCTGACATGACACACCCAGTCCCAGCACTTGCCAGAGAGTTCTACATCCTAGCCTAACTGGCCCACACCAATTCTGGTTCTAATGCACACCAATTGGTTTCGTAGCCTAGCCCAGACTGTCCCATCCCATCCCCAGTCCCAGCTCTCACACTCAGCAGTGGAAGCCAAGGCCCAGCAATGAGTCCCCAAAGTTCCCCTACCAGGCCTGTTTCTAGTCCCAGATCTTGGGCATGCCAGTGGGTGCTGCAGCCTCTGCATTCGACAGCAGATGCTCCTGTCTGGCTGTGCCTCGCCCAGCCTGACCCACACCCTTTCTGGTTTTCCTCAGTGCCAGCAGGTGCTAATCCATTCTGGCCTGCCCAGACCTGGCTTACTCATGGTCTCTGCTCTCGCACTCACCAATGGGAACTGTAGCCTAGCAGGGAAATCCTAAAGTTCCCCTTACCAAGTCTGTTCCCCACCCTGGATCTTCTGCTTGCTGGTGGGTGCTTCAGTCCAGCCTGGCATGGCTCAACCAGTTTTGGCTCTCATCAGCAGTTGTTGCAGCCTAACCCAGCTGAGCACAATCTATACCCTGCTTGGCTCTGGTGCATGCCAGTGGGTGCTGTGGTCTGGCCCAACCTGGCCTGGCCAGTCCCTAGCCCTGGCTCTTGTGCTCCCTAGGGTCAGCTGCAGCTAACAGGAAATTTTCCCAAGTTCCTCTATCGAGCCCACTCCTTGCTTTGGCTCTCACACATGCAGTGGGTGCTACAGCCCTGTTTGGCATGATTTGCCCTCAGTTCTGGCCTTTGTGCTGGTGGGTGCTGCAATCTGGCCCTGTCCAGCCTCCTCCCTATCCCAGTTTTGCAGGTATCAAATGGGTTCCTATCAGATGAGTCCCATTTTCCATCCTGGCTCAGCCAGTCAGCAGCACTCGCAGCTCTCTCTGTAAACCAGTGAGTGTTGCAATCCTGCAGCAATCCCCTGTAAAATCTGCCCCAGATCCAGTTTTCTCGTGTCCTGGTGGGTGCTTCAGCCCAGCTTAGTAGAATCCACTCCTTGCTCCGACACTTGCAGACAGGTATTGTGGCTTAGCCCAGCCAGGCGTGCCCCCAGCCGCAGCTATCATATGCTGCAGGGGCTGACAGGCAATGCTGTTTAGGTCCAGCCCATGTATCTCACATGGGTATGTGCCTTGACTTGACCCAGGCATGCCACTGTCTGCCTCAGCTCTCTTATTTATGTACCTGTGTGTGCAGTGGCCCTGTCCTTGGGAACCCCTAGAAGTTGTTCCTCCACTGTCAAATATGCCCTCAGCTTTTTCACTCCAATATATCCTCATACAGTATATCTCCTTTTCCAGGCAATCTGCAACCCTCCGCCTGGAGGGCGGGGTTCTATGTCCTGCCATTACCCACCATCTTCCTCACTTTTTTTTTTTTTTTAAGATTTATTTTATTTCAATTGGAAAAGCAGATATACAGTAAGGAAGAGAGACAGAGAAGATCTTGCATTCGTTGATTCACTCCCCAAGTGTCTGCAGTGGCCGGAACTGCTTTCGTACCTGCAAGCAGGGAGCTGGATGGGAAGTGGAACTGCCAGGATTGGAACCCGCATCCATATGGGATTCCGCTGCGTGCAAGGCTAGGTCTTTAGTTGCAAGGCTGCTGCTCTGGGTCCCCTCACGTATCTTTAAAAAAAAAAAAAAACAGGAAGAAGAAAAAAGGCAACCATGCTCACGCACTAGTATAGTTAAAACAAATTTGATATTAACCAGGTCCGGAATGCCCACTAGCCTATTGGCTGGTTTTCTCTCAGCAGTGTAACAATTGCCTAGGTACACTGCTGTTTACTGGTTCATTCCCCAAGTGCTGGCAGGAAAGAAGAATAGGGGACTCAGTTTAGGTCTGCTATGTGAGTCATAGGGGACCCCAACTACGGAAGCTTTCACAGTTCCCTGCCAGGGCCTGCTTTAGCAGGAAGCTGGCATCAGGAACTGGAACGCGAAGTCAAACCAAGGTACTTCAGTATGCGACATGGGTTAAATGTCCAATCACCTTTAAGACTGAGGTGGTCATTACTGCATGATGCCTGTCTGAGTGGGGGAACTTACGGAGGGCAGTGAGGGTGAGCGCTACTGTCTGGGGAGCAAGGAAGGATGGGGGCTGGATGGAGATGGTCAGTGTGTACCTGCTCACACCCGTGGCTCATTTGGGATGCTTTGGTGTTTATGCTTTTATTCCTTCACTGTCATTTTATTCCGACTTCAGCAAGGAGTGGCTGTGAATGCCATTTATTTTTATGTGTTTTGTGAGCTATAGTTTTGTGTCCTTTACCTAATATTAGATTGTGTGAACTTGTCAGAATTTTTTTAATATGAGAAGTCTGAACTCTTCGACAAGAGTTTTCCATTTTTCTCCATCTTAGCTTATTCTTGACACACTTGCAGGAGGATGCAGGTGGATTCCAGCTTCTGGATTCCACCTTGTGCTTGTTAAGGGAAGTGATCCCCGAGAGCGACTGGCTGTTCCTTGGCTTTTTGGATGTGCTTTTGTTTGTTTCCACTACCTCGTGGAGCTGACTTATCTAGGTCGTGCTTGAGCAGGTGCATGCCGTTTTACAAGAGAAGGGTCATGACAAAGTGTAAGTGGATCATTTGCCATCTCCTGCGGCAAATGCTCAATCGCATGGACCAGCTTGTCAGCTGAAGAGGTCTGACAGCAGCTGGGCTGAGGAGCACAGACATCCAGTGGCCTGCCAAGAGTCTGTTGCCTGAGCTCAGCCAGATGCCCTGTCCTTGGAGAGGGGCCACTTTTGCACATGCCTTGCGAGAGTGCTAGGAGGAGGAGCAGTGGGCCCAGGGCCATGACTTAGGGAATCGGAGGAAAGAAATTAGCAATGGCTCACCACGTGTCCCATCTGGCACAAGTGAACAGGTAGTAGGTAGCCCTCCTGTACATGGTGAACTTATTTTTAATTTGTATTTTGAAAGCTTGGCCGTGTCACATTCCCTCTTGGGTTATATGCAGGCTTCTTCTATCCTAACTGACAGGAACAGAAAGACCTGCAGTAGCAGGTAGTTGAGTTACATTGGGTGCAGTCTAAGAAACAGAAATCAGATGGTGGTGATACTAAAGCACAGAGCTTTCAATTCCCTTGTCTGGGACAGCCCAGTGGAATTTGAAGTCTGATATGAGCCAGGAGGAAGCTCAGGAACCTAGCTCTGTGCCACACCCCGTCTCCCTAGATTCCCTGGTTTACTCAGGGAGTACCTGTGGGTGAATGATCAACTCCAGGGTGAAACCTCATCATGGTTTCATTTCCCCTCCAGTGGAGTTCCTGAACTTTTCCGTTCTTCTGTCCAACTGTTACTCACACCGGCTCAGTGTCACAGCTTCCTAGGTCAGTGCCTGATTCCTTCCTGCTTTGTCCAGTGTGCTGCTGCCGTGCTTACTGTCATCCTAAACCTCACTTGTCTTAGATTACATTGCTTCGCATTTAGGTACTTGCTCCTCTTTTCCAAGATGTGGCTGTCGACTCACTCAGCTGCTTTCAATGGACTTTTTCTGTTTCTTAGCACTGTGTCATTCAGCACTGGGCAGTCTGGTCACTGAGCTGCTCCACTTGTTAAGCCCATTTTAGAGGTTGGAAGGCTCTGGGGAGAAGGCTGGTTGACTGCCGGTGATTTGAATTCTTCCTTACTGTGCATAGCTGGACTTAGGGAAGCACTGTGGTGAGTGGGCACAGTTCTCAGCTGAGTGCCAATGTGTGGGAAAAATGTGGAAAAACTGAAAAATTACCTTGACAAGCTGAGAAAAAAGCCACAAAATTAGAACTAGTTTGTGGGTTTCACGTCTACCAGGAGACTTTCTAGCTGCTGTGGTCTCTTCTGCCATGGGGCAAGGTTGGAGTGGATTGTCTGTCAGTTCCTGTCAATTCCTGTTCAACCTTGAAAGGCCGGTTCTCTCCTTCATTCGTCGCCTTCGTGTTTCCCTGAAAGTTAAACTTGATGAGCTGCCCCTGGCTCTTGAATTGGGAACCTTTCTCTGTGCTGCTTTCCTTGACGCACTTTGCATTTTTCTCTTGGTACGTGCTGCTGATGGAAATTTGGACTCGCAATTTGGCCACATTTTAGGAGCGTAGACAGAAGGCCAGGCCATTCTGTTTTCCCTGCTTGGAGCCTTTCAGTTTGTTGTATAACTAATGTGTTTTTTGCTTTCCTTCTACAGACACAATGAGGCGAGTAGTACGACAGAGCAAGTTTCGGCATGTGTTTGGACAAGCGGTGAAAAATGACCAGTGTTACGATGACATCCGGGTTTCTCGAGTGACCTGGGATAGTTCTTTTTGTGCTGTCAATCCCAGATTTGTTGCCATAATCATAGAAGCGAGTGGAGGAGGAGCCTTCCTTGTGCTGCCTTTGCACAAGGTAAGTGATTTGACTTTCATCCTGTTAGACACCCTCTGGTGGTCTCCTTACCCTATCATAGGTTGACAGTTCACTGAGAATCAGGTGTTTGCTGAGACCATTCGACTCTGGAACAGAGGTGAAGTTCCACATGCCTGACTAACCACCTCAGTTTTTCTCTTAACAGAGAACCATGATACAGAGTGATGACCTCTGTTCTAGCTATACCCCCTATGGATGAGAAAGAGGATCTGATGCTGTGAACTGTTGGCAGTCATTTACTTTCCGTGGAATTCATTCTATATGTATATATAAGTGCGTGTGTGTATGTGTTATGTATTATAAATATATTTATATATACAAAAGCTTTATTTAATCGAAAGGCAGATTTACGGAGGGTCTTCCATCCACTGGTTCACTTTTTTTTGAATAAAGTAATTTTTTTAAAAGATTTATTTATTTTTATTGCAAAGTCAGATATACAGAAAGGAGGAGAGATAGAGAGGAAGATCTTCCGCTCAATAATTCACTCTCCCAGCTGCCGCAACAGCTGGAGCTGAGCCGATCCGAAACCAGGAGCCTAGAACCTCTTCGTGTCTCCCACACGGGTGCAGAGTCCCAAGGCTTTGGGCCATCTTCTACTGCTTTCCCAGGCCACAAGCAGGGAGCTGGATGGGAAACGGGGCTGCCAGGATTAGAACCGGCACCTACATGGGATCCTGGTGCATTCAAGGTCAGGATTTTAGCTGCTAGACCACAGCATTGGGCCCTCACTTTTTTTTTTTTTTTTAATTTATTTTGATTGGAAAATCAGGTATATTGAGAGGAGGAGAGACAGAGTAGATCTTTCATCCACTGGTTCACTCCCCAAGTGACTACAATGGCTGGAGCTGAGCTGAGCTGATTTGAAGCCAGGAACCAGGAGCCTCTTCTGGGTCTCCCACATGGGTGTGGGACTCACAGGTCTGGGTCATTCTCTGCTTTCTTTCCAGGCTGCAAGAGATTATTGGATCATGAGTGGAACAGCTGGAGTATAAACCAGCGCCCATATGGGGATGCTGGCACCACTGAGTGGTAGATTAGCCTGCTGAGCATGGCATTGGCCAATAAGCAGGTATATTTGTAAATGGGTAGAAAATTTTGATAGTGTTTCCACCTTTTGAAATTATGAGGACCCAGAATTTTTGGTTGTTTGAAGAGTAAATGGAAAAAGAGTTCAAGTAAGTGTTCCAAAGCAATGTAGAATTCTGGATAGTTCTAAGTTTTGCCATAGGATTTAAACGGGTTGAAAAACGGTAAAGGCTCTTTACTGAGAGTGATTCTGTGTATATTTCAATGTGAGTGAATTTCCTAGTCCTCTTATTTATTATCCTCCTCGGAGTCCTCAAGGTGGGAGATAAGATAGGAATTTTGTGCATTTGCTGATCAGATAGAAATCTATACTTAGTTAATCAGCAAGTCTCAGAATTACAAATGATAAGGGAAGAATAAAGCTTTGAAGGCCAGAATTGTGATGTATCAGGTAAAGCTGGTAAATGCTGGCACTCCATGTGGATGCTTGTTCAAGTCCTGCCTCTTCTACCTGTGATCCAGCTCCTTGCTGATAGCGTGAGAAAAGGCAATGGAAGACGGCCCACGTGTTCAAGTCCTTGCCACACATGTTGGAGATCCAGATGAGTGCCTGGCCCAGAGCTAACTGCGTGGCCTGGAGAGTACTCAGACGATCCATCGATACCTCTCTCTCTTTCACTCTGCTTTTCAGCCTTTCAGAATAATTTTTTTCTTTTTCATTTCTTTTCTTTTTTTTTTTTTTTAAGGAAAGCTCTGACAAGAACCTAGAAAGAACTGTCTTCTAGTTGGCCTTTAGAAGATGAGGCTGTGTTCCCGAGCTCCACACCAGGGATCAGTACTGGGCCACAGGCAGGCCGTCTGTGCTCTGCTGGGACAGGGTGGGGACTGCCTGCAGCTGAGCCATGTGTATAAGCAGGGCTTTCTTCACTGTGGCCCCTGGGGTCCTGAAAGTGGTTGCAGGAAATGCACTGTCTGTCAAAGTGTTGTTTCCTGTTGTTTTTTTCCCCAACAGTTAGAAAAACTCCCAATTTTATTACACCTTCTCTTAGGAATGCAAACTTTTTTTTTTAGTTTTAAGGACTTGTTTATTTGTTATTTACCTGTTTGAAGTGAGAGAAGGTGACAGAGTGACAGAAGGGAGAGGCAGAGATACTCCTCTATATACTGGTTTACTTCCCAAATGAACAAAACAGCCAGGACTGGTCCAGGTTGAAGCCAAAAGCCAGAAACTCTATCCTAGTCTCTCCTATCTTCCACTGCTTTCCCAGGCACGTTGGCAGGGAGCTGGATCACAAGTGCAGCAGCGGAGACTGAAACCGGAGCTCTGGCATGGAAGCTGGTATTGCCGGTGCAGCTTCAGCTTAAGTTACTGTGCCACAATACCAGCTCCCTAACTTGCTTCATTTTAATGTTTGATTTTTTTACTTCAGTTGCTGGGTTAAAGTGCTGTCACACAGAACAAATTTCACATGTATTTTCAACTGTATCTTCTTGTTAGTAAAGAAGAATCTTTTTCATTATATTACAAAATGTTGTCTTCTGGCACTGGTGTGGTAATGTGGGATAATCTTCCACCTGTGGTGTCAGCCTCCCATATAAGTACTGACTGAAGTCCCAGCTGTTCCACCTCTGATTCATGTTCCCTGCTAGTGACCTGAGACAGCAGTGAGAGCTGGCTTAAAGCTTAAGTGTCTTGCTCCCACATAGGAAACCCAAGAGAAGCTTCTGGCTCCTGGCTTTATACTTGGCCCAGCTCTGGTGGTGGTGGCCAGTTGGGGAGTGTGCCAGCAAGTGGAAGATCCCTCTCCCCCCTCTCTCACTGTAGTTCTTTCAAGTGAAATAAAGAAGTCACAGAAACTCCCCAAAACACTTAAAGATGTTATTTTTCTGGTGAGATGTTTTAATCTCTGTTAAGGAAAATTGCTGTTGATAATTGTACAAACTTGGTTGGAGAGTAGCAATTAGAACTTAATTCTAGTTGCTTTTGGTTTCCATAGTGTTGAGTTTATTCTCTCACTAGACCTGAGGAACATTTAGAGACCTGTTTGCTGGGGTTTTTGTGTCAGTGGCTGCCAAGATGCCACAGCCATGTCAGCCCAGACCAGACACTGGAGTACCAGTGTGTTTGGAGGTTGAGTTTTTATTTCCCCTTTTTTAGACAGAGCTTTTTTTTTTTTTTCCTTCAAAGCAATGGAACAAACCAATTAAGAAACCCAAAATAAACTTTTGAGTGGCTAATCTTCCACTAAGTTCAGATAGTTCTGAATAACTTTCATGTCCACAAAAGGCTGTGAGTCTATCTTTGCTAGGGCAAACTATGGGAAAGTGGGTTTAACTCATACCATTTAAGGGAGACTGTATGCAGTTCCTAAACTAACTGGATCTTGTGATTTGGTTTTCATTTGGATTAAATGGCCTAAAATTAACAAATGCTAGAATAGTATTTTGTTCTTCTAGCAGCATTACTGAAATTAGGAGCTCATAATAACTTGCTATAAAAGTTACTGTGTTTAGATGAATTGTTGCTTTTTGCAGAAACCTTAAGAGTCTCTCTTTCCCAGGCTATAATCCTGATAGTGAGTGCAGCTGTGTCCTTCAAAATTAATTTGCTCTGGAGGAGATGATACATGTGTATATTAAGCCCGGGGCAGCCATCGGAAACGAGGTCGATAGTTGTGTTATTGGCCTCTGTGATGGACAGGTTCCCATGCAGTGTGAGACTCACAGATTAAATTGTGTGTATGTTTAATCCTTGACGTCAGTATGGCATGAAACGTCCTGGACATTGAGGCTCTTTGGCATTGAGTGGTCTCTGTTCCTGGCTTGTGGTGGGACATGGATATGTCACTGTCCTTCTGCTCCTGCATTTTTCTGCACTAATGGAGGACTGACTATTCTGTATAAAAAGGACTTTCTGGGTGAGTTATTCTAAGTCATTTTAGTAGTTCATCTCATCTCCTGGTTGCTGTCAGTTATATCATGCAGTTAATTTGGTGCCCAAAATTCAGCAAAGCAAATTGTATAGCTTCTGTTGTTTCCCTTCTTGAGCCAATGGAATAGCAGATGCAGCTTTTTCTCATGGCCAGGGCTGAGCCCAGGCACTTTCTTGATGGCTTCTTAAGTCCTGGTTGAAGATGCAAGGTATTAGCTTTTAGATAATCATGATGTCTTCTTTCAGGTTGTCAAGTCTCCCACACTTCTGTCTGGTTTTAGGGGTCACTGACCCTCCAGCTAGCTCCTTGTAGTTCTGGTATACTCAGGAATGGTAGAATGAAGATTGTTAATTTTGCATTTTACTGATGGGATTTGATTGTGTAGTGAAGGCTGATCCGTGTGGTCCTGTGCTTGGGTGATCCTCTGTGAGCTGAGCACTTGCTAAGGCCAGCGGCTCTGCCTCCAGGACACTCCTTGCCTCCAGTTTGGGTTGGCTGTTAGTTTTCTAGTCCCTTCCAGAAAGCCTTGTACCAGATTGCTGGTAGTGAACTGTTTGACCTCTCTTTAGAAGTGTGACCTTCATGAAGACATAAGAAGGGGACCCCAGAACGTGATGTACCCGTTAATCCTAACACAGTGTGTTTGGCCTGGAAAAAAAAAAAGATTCCCACATTGTCAGTGTCTTGACAACAGCAAGACAGTTTTCTAATGTTGTGTTGCTTTGGTTTAAAAACAAAATCCAGATCCTCCAATGTGGTGGGAAGTTATGCTTAAGACCCAGATAGCAGCTGATGGTGTGCACTAGAGGTGTTTCTAGTACTTGCTGATGGCAGGCTGGGATTTTTCCCAACATGAACTTGCAAGAGATGGGTGTGGCTTTTAGCAATTCTGTCAGGGGTTCTGACAACCCCTGTTTCATTTCGGTTATACAGACAAGCAAGTGGGTTTTGAATGATGCTTTGGTGCTCTGTGAACATACTAGTATTGAATATACACATTTAGATCTTAAAATTACT